GCACTCACATTGCAGACAGTGCTCTCTTATATAAGTTAAAAGCGAGACGGACAGATAGACTGAAGAGAGAGAAAGAGAGAAGTTAGAGATAAATAGGTGGAATAATAGTCAACGGCCACGCGGCGCGTAACGCGCATCGACGCCAAACACGGTGACGTTCAATTGACCACCTAAATCCCGTTGCAATCGTTTTTCCTCTCGAATATCAGCGTGGGATGCATGCGTCACAAGAGAGATTTCGTCGAGACAACGAGTGGTCTTCGACTCGCGAATACGTCACAAGTATCGCGCGAAGTGCAGTTGGAACGAAGACAACGACATTGGACTTCGTTCTACTGGAGTACGGTGGACCTATGCGTGATCAATTTGCATTAAGTGTCTTCTCGACACTCTTGCTGACATTTCTCTCCAACGTATATTTCCGCCGAATGACATCGAGGAAATTGCAAAAATCGTGTAATACGAGCTAGCATGTAATCTAAGTTCTTTCTCTCTCTCTCTCTCTCTCTCTCATTCTCTTTTTTTCTCTTGATGACAGCTGCACTTCAGCTAATGAATACTACGTGAATACACGCGACGAGTTTGGCGAGGAAGCACGTTCTCTCGCGCGAGTACAGAGTGTGAAATATATGTATATATATAATTGACTGCGTAGTGAAGAGAGAGTGAGAGAGAAAGAGAGAAGGAGAGAGAGAGAGAGAGGAGACAGAGTTCAGTCGACGCTCGAGAAATTACCCGCGTGCAGCACTCCCGCCTGTTGACGATGGGGCCGACTCGAGCGGATGTCTCCCTTATCCGTGCCAGAGTAAGGGCCGGACTGCCGGAGTTTCCTCCGCGCAGGGTAGGCGAACGCGGATTGCACCACGTCGCGAATCGCGGTGTAACGGTAACGGGTAAAAGTCTAACGATCGCCGCTCCTTCGTACCTCCCGTCTGGGACCGCCGTCGTCAGTCGGAGCGCGGCGACGGACTAGAAGCTGCAGCGGCGGCACATCGCGCAACCAGGACGTTCCACGCAAGTTCCAGCTGACGTCCTGACAGGGCGGGCGTTCGAGGAGGGGCATTCCACCGTGGCCGTGGCGAGGAAGGAAGAAATACGTCCCGTTCACTCTCTTCGGACCGAAAACGCGCTCCGCATCGGACCTTAATTACTCCGACACCCGGATTAACGATTTGTACGCTCGGAGATCGGCGAAACAAATTTTTTTTTTTAGTAAAGGTCACGCAATTTCCAGAAGAATTTCCTCACGCGCGCGTTCTCCAATGATATCCTACGATCGCGATGAGATATTAATCGTCACGCAATTTTCAAATGAACGGTCACGTCGACACGCGATCGGAGACCCCCGTTTTCTAGATCTGATGTTTCTTTAACTCGCAAGCCCGCCTTGCGCATCCACCACCCCCCTACGATTTCCTACCCTCTCTCTCTCTCTCTCTCTCTCTCGGCCACTCGGTCAATCCGTTCCTCTCTCCGCCTTGCCTTCAGGCAGATAAATCACGAAGGCGCCGATTAGCGTCCACGAATCGACGCGCACGGGTCCCTCCACGCGGAGAGTAGTGGAGAGGACACGTACACATCGGAGAATCGCGCGTTCGAGCGTGAATCGAGTAGAACTGCGCACCACCTGTCAATGACTGACCGCTCGAACGCGAGTTCGAGTTGACCCACCTCCTGCTTACGAGAGCCGCCGGCCGA